CCGATAAGCTCCGCGACTACATCGCGGCTTTCGAGCCTAAGGTGGAGACTTGGAAACCATAGGCAGGACGCAGGAGGAGAGGAGGAACATGGGGAGGCTGATGAGGAAAAGGAGGGAGGATGGAGGATATGGTCTCTCATGCCATGGAATCTTAGTTGATTTCAGTTGAAGGCTCTCGCTTGGCTGCTCGCGTCCGTTTTTGCCCGGCGTACTTCGTCACTTGTCTTCTCAGCTTCGTGGATTGAGGCTTGAGGAGCTTTCATCTGTCTCAGGCTTCTGAAGGCTCCTCCGGGACAGCACATTTGGCCCCTGGCGCTTTCGAGGGCCCTAGGCGGCTAGACGCGGACTCGGGCCAGCCCCCGTTGGCCTCAGCACTGACCGGGTCCAAGTGCCACTGCCACGTCGGCGTTTTCTTTTGCAGTCCTTGGCAGGGGGCTGCTTCGAGTGCCAGTGGAGGCGGAGGAGCTGCCCTCGGGTCGGCCCCGCCATGCGGGCAGTACAAGAAGCTCGTCACTTTCAAGGAGTGGGAGGGCCAGGCCTTAACCATCAATGCCTGCGACAACAAGCCCGATATACTTGATATCAAGAAGAAGTGCGCCCTGCACAAGGTGCCAATTACGGATCTGATCAAGAACTGCAGGAAGGCCCTGGGCGACCTCACCAAGGCAAAAAAAGCTCTGGAGACGTGGAGGGCAAGTCGGAAAGCACCTTCGAAAAAGTCGTCAAAGGTAAGCACAGACAGCAACCCAGCAGCCTGTCTCTTGGAATTCTCTAAGCAGCACGGCTCCGAGGTGCCGAGGTTTTCGTCCAACGAGCTGAAGATCAAGGAGGAGACCGGCGAGTTCCTCGTGAACGTGCCTGCCGTCATCATTGGCTCCCCTGAGTGCCGAGCTGCCTGCGAGAAGGACAAGGATTGGTGGGTGCCTAAGCTTACTGTTTGAGACCATCGCAACTGTGATAGGAGGAGATTAGATTGCGAGGCGACCTCACACCTTCCAGGGCGTTGCTTGCCAAGCAAGTGCTCAAATATAAATCGGTTGGTTGGGGGATCTGCGCGATCCAATCTTTCTTCTCACAATTGCGATGGTCTTAAACTGTAGGCTTCGGCAGTCCGCCAGGCCGTGAGGGGATTTATATTCGATGGGCTGGAGAAGGAGTTCTCGCAGCACTCTGCGAATGGCGGGATGGAGAGGGCGCAGAAGCCAGTGCCTGTTCAGATCTCGGACATCATCACCAGCTACGCAAAACACCTGAAATCAGGAAGCGCCCCAGGTCTCCCTGACAACGTCAACTCGGATCTGGTGGAAGCGATGCGCCCGTACGGGGTTGTCACGGCTAAGAATACTATTACACCGCCAACCGTCGAGAAGAACTTCATGGGCTCATTACGTTTTGGACTCGCGGGCACACGCGAGATTGTCATCGTCCGGCTCTCCGATTTGTACGAGTACATGACGAAGCTGTCCACTCCTGACAGCAAGGGCATCTGCATGAAGCAGGCCAAGTCGTTCTTCATTAGCATGAGCAAGGAGCAGCTGACCGATTACCACAACAACGCGCAGTACCCGATTTGGCAGGTCACCATGGCCCCTCACGAAGCTCTTTACATGCCACCTGGTTCTTACTTCATTGAGCGCATCGTCGGTCACCCGAACTACGTGGGCTTTCGTGTGGGCGTGCTGGACGGAGACCTCCAGACTGTCAGCAACCTCTCCAAGATCCATGAGAACCTGGCCAAGGAGCACAAGCTGCTCAAGACCCTGTTGGAACAGATGCAGCTTGACAACAGTCCCAAGGTGACTTGGAACGCGAACCCAGATCTAATTGTCATAGGTGTTGGCGAGACAGGGAATGATTGCGCATTGAACTGATATTTACATGTGACTGCACCAACCCTGTGGCACAGATATCGGACAGGTCAGGTCAGATAACCAGATCTATTCAGAATCTTAAGTCCTAAATGCATGCGCTGGCCGATGCGATCAGCTCGCCGTCCGTGCATCTATCGGCGGCGGGCCTGGGCAGGAATTGAGAAGAGACGGTCCCTCTCAGATGGCTCCGAAGTTCTCGGGCCTTCTGAAAGGTTTTCTAAGCCTTCCCCGAAGACGCAGAAAACCTCTCAGAAGGCCCGAGCCCTTCTGAAAAGCCCCGACGCCTTCTGAGAAGGCCTTCTCTTTTTTTACTTCCCCCCATTGCTCGCCGCCGAATCCACAGAACGCGTCATTCACATTCTTCTTGCTTGACCCTATAGGTGTTGGCGGCGCCGGCGGATGCCGTGGCAGCCTCGGCGTCGGGGGCAGCTTCGATTGGGCACATCGCCAGGCGGCCTGCAGAGAAAAAGCCCGAGGAGCAGAATGGTGAGGACAAGATTGAGAACCAGGAGAATACGCCAGCGACAGCCGCAGCAGAGCTCAAGGCCCAGAAGGGCGATGGTGATGGTTCTCAGGAGGCCCAGGCTGCGGCCGCGGCAGCAGAGCAGCAGAGCAGCAGCCACCAGCCAGAGCCGCAGCCAGAGCAGCAGCCAGCGCCAGATCAGCAGCCAGAGCAGCAGCCAGCGCCAGAGCAGCAGCTTGCGCCACTGCCCTCCCCAGAGATCGTGGACCCGTCGACCGTGGCAGCGGGGCCGCCCAGCCAGGAGTCTGGCGAGTCTGGCGGAGCCTCTTCCACCAACGGCGGCGGGGCCAAGCCCACGCAGCCGGCGCTGGCGACCAGCGCCGACCCGCAGAAGCAGGAGAAGCCGGAGGAGCCACAGGAGAACCAGCCGAAGTCGAATGAGCCCAAGTCCGCGACCAGCACCGGCCCGCAGAAGCAGGACAAGCCGAAGGAGCCAGAGGAGAACCAGCCGAAGGAGCCCAAGTCTGCGACCAGCGCCGACCCGCAGCAGCAGGAGAAGCCGAAGGAGCCAGATGAGAACCTGCCGCAGGAGCCCAAGTCCAAGCCGACGGAGCCCAAGTCCAAGGCCAAGTCCAAGGCCAAGTCCAAGGCTGCTCCGTCAGCGGCTGCCTGAGCTGAGCAGCCTTCGCTGATGGACTAGGCCGAGGGCCGAGGAACTCGCGGGCCGCGCGAGGGTCCAGGGGAGGATGGGCGTGAGCTGAGCTGGGAAGTCTCTGGCTCGTCCGAGGCCCGTCGCGATGCCGGCCAGAGCATTTGCATGGGCCGTGTGTTGGTCCGCGGTCCATGCGGCGCTGCAAGCTGCGAGTTCTAGTTTACATTTTCTGGGTGCAAAGTGTGCTTGGCCAAGTGATTGCGGAACGCAGCACTGGCACCATTGGAGTCTCATTCAGATACACGGATGCACGGAAGCCACCACATTGTTACTTGCTATATTTGTTTCTGATGTTCGTCGGCGATTGGAGCCTTTCTGCGTGTAAGTGTGTGCACGTCTGTAGGAGATATTGCGCGTGCTGCACATGCTAGGCGATGGCCCCAAGAAGCGCCCAGGAGGCCCCAAGAGGTCCCAAGATGGCCCCAATATGGCCCCAAGAGGTCCACAAGAGGCCCCCAGGAGGCCCCCAAGAGACCCCCAAGAGGCTCCAAGAGACCCCCCAGAGGCACCCAAGGTGCTCCAAGAAGCCTCGGCGAGAATGCCAAAACGGCCTTGGCGAGGAAGCCAAAATCATTGGTTTTACTATGTGGTTTGGGCCCCATTTTGGCCTCCCTGGGGGGGACGCTCATTAATGCCCCCCTCTTGTTTGATCGATCTCCTCCAAGATGGCCCCAAGAAGCGCCCAGGAGGCCCCAGAAGGTTTCAGGATGGCCCCAAGATGACCCCAAGAGGCCCCCAAGAGGCCCCAAGGAGGCCCCCAAGAGACCCCCAAGAGGCCCCAAGAGACCCCCCAGAGGCACCCAAGATGTTCCAAGAAGCCTCGGCGAGAATGCCAAAATCATTGGTTTTACTAGGGTTTGGGCCCCAGTTTGGCCTCCGCTCATTAATGCTCCCCTCTTGTTTGATCGATCTCCTCCAAGATGGCCCCAAGAAGCGCCCAGGATGCCCCGAGAGGTCCCAAGATGGCCCCAAGATGGCCCCAAGAGGCCCGCAAGAGGCCCCCAGTAGGCCCCAAAGAGACCCCCAAGAACCCAAGAGATCCCCCAGAGGCACCCAAGATGCTTCAAGAGGCCTCGGCGAGAATCCCAAATCATTGATTTCACGAAGGTTTTAGCCACATGTTGGCCTCTTGGGGGGGAGCACTGATTAAGATGACTCCAAGAGCGCATGGGAGAGCCCAAGATGACCTCCAAGATGGCTCAAGATACCCCAAGATGTCTCATAATGGCTTCCTCTGTGTGCTGCCCACTTCCCTGATCCAGGCAATTCCTCTGGGCATCGTTTCTGGATGGGCTGGTGGGGATTCGCGAAGCGTCAGCATTCGAATTCGTATTGAGCGTTATTGAAGCTTGCTTGGACGCCCATGATGCCCAGGAGGCTGATATCTCTAGTTGTTTGTGCACTTTCAAATCCCAAATGGCCCTCCATCCTGAGTCGGTGGATGTTACGCGGCGCGGGTGGGGTCGGGGTGGGGGTACATAACAATTTGATGTGTACAACCTTGTATGATATTCAACAATTACGCACGTCAGCCGGCCCCTCATCCTTCCTTCATGACTCCTCGGGGTATCCCTCCCCTGGTACTAAGCACGGGCAGACCGCAGACCCTGCTACAATGACCCCACGGTCCGACGAGACCCACGAATTTCGGAACAAACCCGAAAAAACAGCGTGATCACGAAAATGGAACTCGGCACGCCGAACTGCATGTTATAATTGACATTCGTCTGTAAACAAATTCGCGTCGTATCAATTTTTGCCACAATATATGAAAACGTTCAGCGTGCGACACTTACCAGCCGTAGAAACCGCAAAATCCAATTGATAGTTTCCCGTCTGCGCGATACCATTCTATCCAAAACGCACAAGGTTTCATCCTGTCCCTCCTTCTTCCGTGTTCCTCGTCTGTCCTCGTCCTTCCCCCTCCTTCTCCCCGTCCCCTGTCCCTTTCCCGTTCTCCTCTCCCTCCTCCTCCTCGTCGTCCTCTGTCTCTGGGCGTCCCCCTTCTCAATCTCAACGATTTCTTCATTCTCACCCTGGTCCTCCTCTCCTTTCCGCTCTTTGTTTGGGGTCTTTCTTACGTTCCTTCCCCGCTCCTCCACCTTCACTGTTTGGTAGGCTAGGAGCGACCCCGACGATGGTCATAGTCTTCTGGGGGGCTCTCCAGGGGTGATCTCCGGAGGCGGTTTGAGGTCACGATGTCGTCGTCGTCGTCGTCGTCCTCGCCGTCGTCGTCGTCGTCGTCCTCGCCGTCGTCGCCGTCGCCCCTTGAGCCCAGCCTGCGCCTCGTTGTGGCCTTTGCGGGTGTTGCCCTCCTCGTCTCTGAGTCGTGTTGCTTGCCCTGCTTGTTGTCGTCGGCTCGTCCTACGCAGGAGCCTGTGGACAAATGGGAGGCTCCAGAAGGGCCTCGCCTTCGAGGTGGTCGCGTTAAGCTGCGAATTGTTTGGCATGATCGGTCTCACCGCTTCATCTGAACAGTGGACGGAGCTCATCATGAAGTTTACTCCCCGAGTGCGTAAAGTGCGTGCCGCTGGCTTTTTTGATTCGGAACACCCCAGTTTTCAACACCCTCGGTCTCAGCATCTGTTCCTTCAACCTCCAATTCGCTCCTGTTTCTTTGGCGAAGGCTCATGATTCGGCGCTCCAGCTGATGGTGGCTGGTCCACGATATTCCCTTAACTATTGACTGTTGACAAATATGAAATATATTGGTTCCGCTGGCTCCTGCAAGAACCTGGAGGTGGTTTCCCAAGCTTCGAATAACGTAGCTCCTACCATTACGTTTAACGAGAATGATGATTTGTACATATATCTCCCGGGGGACGTGGCCAGGGGGGTCCCGCCCATCGACCTCGGCGGCGCATGGGGGGCCCGGGGCCTCACTTCCCTTTTTTAATAGGGTTTCGGCGACCCGGAGCCACAGAGCCCCACGAGGTTGCAGGGATCTCCAGGGGCTGCTCCCGCCTGGTGCCCCAGGTCTCCAACAGGCCTCCCAGAGGCCCCCAGGAGAGCTCCCGAAAGCTCAAACACTTGGTTTTCCCATAGTTTTACAACGTTTTTCCCCATGCTACCTATTCTGCATCCCCACGCCACAAGGCAACCCCGGAGGACGCCCAAACCGTCTGGATTCGGCCCCAGAAGCTCCCAACCTTGTCCCCAGATGGCGCCGCATGGGAGGATCGGCGCGCACTTTCATTTTTTTTTTTTTTACTCGGTTTCGGCGACCCGGAGCCAACAGAACCCCAAGAGGTTGCAGGGCGCTCCAGGGGCTGCCCCCGCCTGCCCACAGACCTCCCAGAGGCCTTCAGGAGAGCTCCCCGAAGCTCACACACGTGGTTTTCCCATCGGGTAGCTGTTGTTTTCCACGTTTTTCTCCATGCTACCTGTTCTGCATCCCCGCGCCACACGGCAGCACCAGAGGACGCCCAAACCGTCCTGGTTTGGCCCCAGAGGCTCCCAACCTTGTCCCCAGATGGCTCCGCGTGGGAGGATCGGCGCGCCCCAGCAGGGTCACAGAGCGGCCAGGGACGCTCCAAGATTCCGGCGACGCCGACGATCACCCCAAGACAGCCCCCCGAGCGACCCCAAGAGGCCAAGAGGCCTCTTCTGAGGCTCCAAGAGGCCAAGAAGCCTCCCCCTCGTCGACACGTCATGCTTCCAAGAGGCCTCCCCTGAGGGCTCTCTGAGGCCTTACTTGTTGTTTTCCCCATGTTTTCTTTCAACGTGGTCACTCATCCAGCTTGTTCTGCA